ATGTTCGAATTGCCTTTTAAAATGAAATGTATTTTTGTAAAACTATTATTAAATCACGAGAAAAACAAAGAACTTTCGCGTAGATAAATTCATCTACAATCTGTTTGAAGTTTATCTCTGTTTATTTGTCTAACCTACTGGCAAACAAGCATTAAAAAGTTAATCTGCATCAAATCTTTGCTGGCATATTTAACATAATTATTTAATTATCATAATTGCTTAAGCTGTCATTTTACTGGTCTTATCAGCAAACAGGTATGAACAGGTTAAAAACAAAAAACAGACACCTGCCGCCCCAGACAACATTGAAAAGACGTTGATTGGACGTCACGTTTCGTTTAGCTCGAAATTCATCAGAGTCCGCTTCCTTCCCCTCTATAATTACTTTTTAATGGCATTGGCTCATTGTGTTTTATCTATATGCACATATTTGTAGATATATTTGTAGCTGTATCTGTATGCGTACTCACCTCCATACATGACAAAGAGCGTTATCTTGAGCATTATCAAATTGGGATTAATGCCGCGACGCTGGCAGAATTCACCAAAGTGCGACAACTCGACTTTTTCGGAGTGTGCTGGCTCGGTGACCGTCTCCTCGCTGGCCATTTTGACCATTTTGCAGATACTGTCAGATACACACACACACACACACTTATGCACAGTTTTGCTTGTTTGAAGTTCGTTTCAATAAAATGCAGCGACGCGTCGTAGCCTCTTGGTTTCTCGGTCAGACGACACTGGGACACACACAAAGACACTCACACTCACACGGACAGAGAGAACACACACAACTTAATGAGTGTCTGTGTGTGCGTGTGTGTTTGAGTGTTTGGATCTGTGGCAGAGTTTTCTTATGATTTTGATTAAATCCAATTGAAATTTGTGTTCATAAACGGCGCACAAAAGTCGAAATTGTTGTTGTTGTTGCTTTGGTATTTTTTCTTTTTTATTTTTTTGTATATATATATTTTAAGTATATATTTCAACTTTGCTGTTTTCTTTTTAATTTGTTACATTTTGTTACACTGTAAAAAATATATGTGCTTTTTTTATTTAAATAGAATTTTCTTTTATTTTATTTTCAAGGTTTTTTCGCCTTTGTTTATCTATTTACTTAATTGAAACAATTCTACGATATATTTTGCATTTTTACAAGGTTTATTTCAGCTTGGCTTCTGCACTCACTTCACACTAGATTTGCCTACATTGCGTATGCTTAATATTTTGATATTTGTCAAACTTTTGCTTAAATTGGGCTTTTGATTCGGTTTGGCTTGGATTTGGATTTGGATTTGGATTTGGGGCTGCCGCGCTTCCACTTTCACAGTCGCCGTTCGCACCGAGACTGAGTGAACAAATATATAAGAATCTCTTATCGCACGGGCCATATAGATTTGTGCATTTGTGTAATATCTTTTGCAATCTCCAGAGCTGAGCTCGCGCTCGCCCGCTAATCTATGAGGAGAGCAATAGCAATCGCAGCAGCGTTGCTCACTTCCCCAGACGAGAGGCTGCTGAGATTCTAACTTAAATTGGAGCAGTTACCGTATTAGTGACAGCTCATAAGACGACGATGACGACTACGAAGGGAATGGGGACGGCGACGTTCCGCTGCTCTCAGCTGAACTGTTTTTGTTGTTGATGTGCAGACGACAGTCGAGATACCCCTAAGATAATGTCTATTCTGTGATAGTCTGTTTTCCTTTTGAATGAGCGACGACTGACGCGCAACAATGTCACGCTGAGTGACAACTCGACAGCGGAGAGAGACTGCGGTTAGGCCAAGGTTTGCGCGGAGGTGTGATAAAAGGCAAATCTTCCAACGGCTGCGAGATCTATTTTATGCCTCTATGGAGATGCGACTGCAGATTCCCGAGTGGATCACTTGAGCTGAGACTGCTTGATCGGGCAATATTGAGCGTCAGTTTTGATGGAGAGACTCTGAGTAGAATTGAAATTTATGTGCAGGTATCTAATGTGCTCATAATTTTAA